TCAGTTTAGACGAGGCAAAAATCCGCGCCAAGGAAGAATCTACAACACAGCACTAAAACACAAACAAGACTACACATACAAGAACATCCACAAGACACGCCGGCAGCGCCGGCGGATTTGTATCACAAAAACAACAAACAAAAGCGGGATTTGTCCACCAGCTCTGAAGCCCTGGCATCCCTAAGGCTCCCGATCATTTTTGGTCCCAGGGCCCCTGAAGGGTCAGGGCTTTTGATTGGAGGGTTCCGGGGCCGGCATTGGAGGGGTCATGAGCTGCAGGGTTGTGTGAAAGCTCCTTTCAAGCTCTGATTTAGAATGTGGCTTTGAGGATGTCACTTTAACCATTTCCCCAGAGCGAGCTCGCCCGTCAGGAAGGCCCAAGTTAACTCCTTTGGGTTCAAAAACGAAGCATGTTTTTCGACCGACCCGAGAGGGCGTCGCGCGCATCGTTGACATTTGGACGTTCGCTTCCCGAAATTGGCTCTCACGAATGTGCTGGGGATCTTCACATGTTTGAGCTGGTAAGGGCGGGTAAGAGCAAACATGAGTTCATCGGAGCAGCTCGATTGGAATGTGACCGCCAACATCAAGTCACTCTCGGAGCAACTACTTCGATCCGCTCTGTCCAGTTTTTGTCCTGCTATCCGTGCATGTCATCGGAGCAACTCGCGGGGGTTCCCCGCGCTGTCCGGAGACGCAGCACCTCGCATGTCCTTACTGGCTCAAGAGCGGACAGGCTCTTCGGCACCAAACTACCAGGGCGCCAAGTGGGGTCCGCCAAGTGCGCGTGGAATCGTTTGCGCGCGGACGAACTCGTGATTCGTGTGGCTGACTCGTGAGTCACAGTTCAGCGAAGCGTTCCTGGAGGGGCTGGCTTTTTGTCACGCTTCCGCGCGCAAACAGTTGCGCGTTTGTCAAACTTGTCCGAAGGATGCACGAAGACCTCGGCGCCGACACCGACTGGCTCGCTGAACGCGTCTTCTGACAAGGCAAAGTCAAAACATCAGAAACATGCGCACCGCAGAGCCGCTGCTGCAGTCGGGCAAAGGCCTCGCAGCTGCCGCAGTCTCCTTGCGAACAGACAGGAAGACGTGCTAGTGGCGGGATAGTGCCTGCCAGGGACGCCAAAAGCAGGGCACATGAGCCCATTTAACCCAGCTCCAAGCCGCGAGGGGCGGATCCATGCTGCCGGATGAGTTGGTTTTCTCGTTGTTTTGCTTGTTGGCAGTTCCAGCACTCAGTGCATACATGTAAAAACACATAGGGAGTAAGTAGCAGGAGCAGAAGCTCCTGATCATAAACATTGCAGGAGCTATATATGCTGGGTGAACCTTCGCCGAGGCAAAACGAGTTTTTCTCAAGTTGCGGACGGTTGCTTTTGGACGTTATCCACTAGAGCCACTCACAGTGAATGCGTGCGCACGCCCCCTGTAAATGAGCCGCCACCTGTTTGCAGCCGGGCCCGTACCGGTCCTGTTTCAACCCCCGCCCGCAGCCCCTTTGCCGTTTCCAGGCTTTGTTCATGCTTGAAAGTGAGGTGTTCCTCTTCATCTTCTACATCTCTTTCACCTACTTCGCTGTGTTGCTCCTTGGTATTTGCTCCCAAGAAGTCGATGTCTTTCCTGCCTTGTGTTGCACAGTGGTCATTCTGCAGTTGGGTGAACGTGGGTGGCGCAGTTGTCTTCAACTTCATGGTTTAGTACGGGGCATTTCCTCCAAACCAACATTTGGCAAGCTGCATCGAGTTGCCACAGGGGTCAGCCAGCTGGGGCCTGGCGGGCTTGTTGCACTCATGATGCCCGTCGAATCCTGTCGAAGTCGACCCATATAGGTGTGTGATGGGTTTGAACTGGTGGTTGGCTTTCTTTTGGTTGCCGCAACCTCAAGAAAACTGACACATGAACAAGGCTCCAACCGGTCGATGGGTGATGCGGGCATGGTGCCTGCCCCCAAACTGCAGTGTTGGTCTGGCAGAGGCTTTCTATTTAGAGCTTGCGCGTTCCCAAAACAACACAAGGTTTGCGGGCAGCCTTCTCCAGACACTCTGCAACTCTTTGCCGCACTTGCGTTAACGGAGCTTGCCCGGAGGACTACCGATAACTTGGGCGAAACCTGCGTCGAGAGCTTGGGCGCAAGGCAAACCTGAGTCGAGAAAGTTGCGCCGAGAACTCGCGCACAGAGAAACTTGCGCAGTAGACTTAGAGCAGAAAACAATGAGCCGAGAACTTGCATGCGCAGGGAATCTTGCATCAAGGATTTGCGTAGACAAACATGTGCAGATAAATCTGGGCCGAGAACTTGCGCAGAGAAATGTCAGAGTGAACTTGCGCAGAGACCGCTAGCAGAGAACATGCTGCGCTCACTATATGCTGTGCTTTCGGGCCACCCGCTCTTCCAGCTTTAAAGGGCCCGGCGCGTATCCGACGACAAGCCAATTCCAGGTTTTAACTTGTTCACCGCGGCCGGGTAAGAAGCAGCAAAGGTCTCAGTTGTTCATGGCATCCCAAAATGCGTGAGTTTGAGCCCCTCGGGGGTTTCTTTGCGCACGGCGTAGCTGGCTGCAGACCCCCAAAAGGTGGCTTACTTTATTTCAGGAAAGTTCAACTGACGAAGAGGGGTGGTACATTCATTCGGCGAATTGAGTTAGTGAGTATACTCTCATTTCAGTAGTGTTGCTCTAGGATGTTAATTCGGGGCAGGCTGTGGTCGTTTGAGGGTTGACATTTACCGCTTTCGAGGTTGTCAGTTTGTTTTTGGTTGTTGCTAGTTTTGATCGCTCGTATGGTCTGGACAGTTGTGAAGCTGTTCGTTCCCTAGTGAGGGCTTGACAACGGATTCCAGAAACGAGACTGGAAGCCACTAGACACAACCAGCCACATGAAGCCACCTGTGCACAGGATTGAAATAGAAAATACGGTTGGAGGAAGTCGGACTCACTCAGCTGCCTCTATATTTGCCTTTTTGTTGGCCCCCCCCAATGTGTTTGCAGTATGCTTCCCAGATTGTTCACATTTGCTTCATACTTTCCATCTTGGACTGCCGAAGGCTGGCGACAACTAGCTTGTGTCACTGTGCTGGGTTCGAATGCCAGATTCCCCCAAGAGAGTCGAAGGAAAACCCGGAGAACAGCAAGGGAGCAACCATAGCGTAGTTCAGAAACACACTGGGAAATACTGGAAGCACCTTGGCCAGCTTTGTGAAGCGACTTTCTTTCAAGATTGTATGATAGTTTTGTGTGAGAGTGAGTGAATGTGGGCTGATCATGGCAAGATCAAGGATTCAGCTTGACAAGGCATTGTTCTTTCAATGATGAAAGCACAGTTTAGATGTTACTTTCAGCCGAGGAACGTGGTTACGGCGGTTTTCTGTCACTTGGCTGCATTTTGGTACGACTTTTTTGGCTTCCCTTGTCAAAACATCTTGCTCAGTCCACGAATCAAGGGGTATGCGTTTTTTGCACGTGTTTTTGATCGGTGAGGTCAATCAGCTATTGAGGGCGCACAAAATGACCAGGCGTCAAAGATACAGGCAGTCCTGGCCGACAAAAAGGTCCACTTGCAAAAGATCAAGGACACGTAGGGTTCCATGTTTTGTGTTTGTTTGTGTGTGTGTATCTTGAGGGCACCCTGAACATTTGGTTGGTTTAGGAAGTCAAATGAGAGCCACAATTGTCAGGTCCCCATGTCATTGTTCAAAAGGATTGCCCCAAGGCAACGTGAACCCCTTCCAAAAAAGCCAGAACACTGGGTTGAAGTTGTTTTTTCGGGTTTTCGGAAGCTAGGAGTTGTTCCGGCAGTTTGGGGCGGAAGATGGTGTGATTACCTATGGCATGCTGCAAGAGAAGATCGACTGCCAAGAGGTGCACGACTACTTCTCCAGTCTGGGCTTAGATACCTTGCCCAAAAGTGATGACCTGAGATGACCTTTTGGTTCCTTTTGGTTTGGTATCTGGTTCCCATATTGATAACCTGAGATTGTTTGGGGTTCCCATGTTGTTGAGGATGTGTTTTGCTTCCCATGTTTGATATCTCGTTTTAGTCAGGGCAACCCAAAGGTGATGACCTGGTATTTCTGGGTCCGTAAGGGCGTAGGTATCCTTTTTGGTTGTTTTGAACAGAAATAGTTGGCGGTTCCTGGTTTACCTGGTGGTCTTTTCTCATCTACCCGGGAACCGAATCTCTTTCCCCTAAAAGGACACCTATAGGGGCATCTTTTTCTCCATCCCTAAGGTTTCCCATGTTTATCTCATGGCACTTGGTGGACCTTGGCATTTCGGGGTCAAATTTCTTGGGGGCGCCGAGGATATCTCGGACGCCTGGAGTTTTTTCAAGCTCTTGGACTTGGACGGCGGAGGCTCGGTTGAGATCGAGGAATTTTTGATGGGCTGCCTGCGGCTGCGGGGCCAAGCCAGTGCCATGGACGTGGCGAAGGTCATCAACGACGTGGGGTGGCTGATGAAAAGCCAAGGCACGTTTCACAAGTTTGTGGAGATGGAGCTAAATCACCTCAAAGAGGAGCTCCGACATCGGCATTAGCTTGGGACCCATGGCCCACCTTCGCCCCCTCTGAGGAGAGAGGCTGTTCCCCATGCCAAAGCCAAAGGGGCCTGGCCAATGTGGCTGGCATGAGACCTCGCGGCGAAACATGGCGACGTGCTATCGGCGAACTCGAACAGATGAGTGCTGACATGTGAACTCATGGTTGTCACCCTCTTAAGTCTCATCTCTCGCTCTATTATCATCATTTGTAGCGCCCCTTATGGCACTACCCCTTCCCAAGCATCACCGGGTTGGCAAATGTGCTCCCCTTTGCTGGTAGGACTTGGGGTGGTCAGGATTCTTATCAACCGTTGGACAAGTGTGGTGAGTCAGGGAAATTCAAGATGACACATGCCGTGTTTTGGCCATCCGCCAGTTACAGGCGGAGTTCCCTGTAGGCCCGAGAAGGAGTTAGCCTCACAAGAAGTTTTGCCGCCCAAGTCGTTGGACGCATCGTGCCAGGGTCATCAGGCGCAGCACCAGCTGTTGACGAAGAAGGCGGAAGCCGAACTACTTCTGGGGTTGCTTGGCCGTGAACCTCTTGATGGGTGCCTCTCAAAATAGGGCAAGCCAGAACAAGGTAGCCTCAACACAAACACTCCACCCGAGAGCCTGGACAACCGCAACAAAGATGTGGTTCCGGAAGCCACCATCAAACAATTCACCAAAATTCAAGGGTTGATAACTTCCCAACCCAATTTCACCAAAACACCCGGTTGGAGTGGGCTACTCACTTCCTGAGTGGATTGGCCCAAAAAAGCAACTACACTTTGTATGAAACACTGGGGAGTTTTGGCCGGCTGGCTGGCTGGAGGCCTCTCTCTCTCTCTGGCTCGGTCCGTGCGCAGAAGGAAGGCTTCACTACAAACTCGCGCGCAGCGAAGCGTATGACCAAACTCATGCAGCCATGCGTTGCGCACGATTTTTGCTACTGGCCAAGCCGCTAAGCCGCCGAGATGAGTCAGATGGGACTTCCATTTGCTGAAACGAATATGTGTTATTTTCCCCTTTTGGTTTGAAAGGGAATCTATCACCACTGGAAATACTTTTATTTTATTTTTCTTCGGGGCTTAAGCAAATGGAGGGGGAGGTTTGCAGTCACCACAAACTCCGAGAACCTCCAAGCGGGGAGGTCCAGCGCAGCCCATTGCAAGCTGAGGGTCTTTGGTGCCAACTTGGAAGGCACCGAAAAGACATGGGTGGCTATCTCCGTGTTTGGGGTAGTTCCCGTGGGAAGCAACCCCCACAACAGTCAGACAAACACAAAGGAACAGAGAAACACAAAGAACATACCCATTTTCATCCTTTGATGTGTGCCCTGGTCCCTTGACTGCTATTGGGTTGGACCTTTAGACGTTAACTTGTTGGGAAATCTAGGGGTTTCCAATAAACCCCCAAAAAGTTAAACTTGTTGCAAGGGAGTCAACAGCAACCAAGGTCCCCCCAAGCATTTTTCCCAGACCACCCACTGCTCAGTGACACCGGAGACGCACAGCGCCCATGCGCTTTCGGGACATGTTCCATCGAGGTTGCGCAACCGGATGTTCGAAAACTCGCACAGCCATAGAACTGGGATTCATTCGAAGACCGGCGGAGTACAAAAGATCATGATAGGTATTACGTGCAGGTTACTATCAAAGGCGGCTTTCTTACGTGAATTTGACTCACATGCTCACTTGGCGCCACCCGGAGACGCCATCAACACTCTCATTGGGATGTCTAGCAATTGCAGGCATGATTTCAGTTAAGGCAGTCTTATGTCAGGGATGTGGCTTCTGAAGTATGGTCGGTCAATCTGTTGAACGAGGCTGCGCCGTGGGAAGTGCTTGGTTCCCTTTTCTACGATCTTGGTAAGAACACGCTTGCGCTTGTAGCGGCGGCTAGAAGTAACATAAGACAAATCAGCTTACACCGGGGTTTTGGAACTTGGTTCCCCATGCAAGAGCCACAGGCGGAAAGCCCCAACGCCCCAAAGCGAAGCGCTCGAAACTCCTGGAAAGTATTATTTTACGCTGCTGTTTTTTTCCTACAAGTCATCATCACCAACCAGGCTTCTGATCTATCAAGGGCTTATTGGTTTCTTACTGAGGCACGTGGGTCTGTGTTTTTTGAGGGCGCCTTTAGTTCGTGGCAGAGGTAAACCAACGGAAGCCAGTGATTGTGCTTGGTCCCCTTCTTGACGGCGATTGGGCAACGGATCTTTAGACTTTAGCTTTTTGGGAAATGGGGGTTGATCAAAAGGTCCTTGCAAGGAGTGATGGCGCTTTCCGGAAACAGGAATATTGATCAACTGCCAAATCAAGCTGGGTTTTCCACTTTTGGCCCCCAAGAGTTGTTCATTTTCTCTTTGCAGGGGGGTTGTTGCAGCAACCAAGCCTTTTTTGACACATGCGCACAGGCAGCACAGCAAGAAGAGCTGGTTGCAGAGCTGCGGCTGCAGCATGAGCACCATGAGGCAGGGGGCTGCGAGAGGCGCAGGTCAACCCTGCGAAGTGACTGACTTCTCCGAGACTACCTGAGCCACTTGCTCAAAACCGGGTAAGTGAAGGGCCAATCCCAACCAGAAATAGCTGCTGCCGCCTTCTTAATTCTCTATACGTGGTTCTGGGTCGACCATTTTAATACCTTTTTTTGATTATGACTCACCTGGGGATGTGAAAAAAACATCGAAAGCCCCCTGGTTCTGGTGGCTCCCAGGCATCCTGTTCCTTAGCGTTTTTTTGGACTTTTGGTGTTTGGTGGTTGGGTTTCCGGATACAACTTTTGCGGATCTGAGCCCAGAGGTGCCCCTGGTGACGCCTTTATTGCCGTTGAACAGCCGAAGCCGGCCGTTTCTGGCGAAGACGGTGGGCGGAAGCTTCGAACATTAATATAGAATCTAGAGCTGTGTTGTGTGTTCTTGGTGGCTCCCGGCTTTTTAGCCTTTTAGTGTTTAGTGGTAGTTGAGTTCATTATTTCTTTGTGTGAAGTGGTTTAGGGCAGCCCAGTATTGAACTCTTTTTTTTTTGCGTGCTCTTTATTATTGTTCATTGGTTGCTTCATGTCCTTCTTTGTTTGTATAGTTTCGTTAAATTCATTATATCGTTCCATTTTTATGTCTGCATGTATGTCTTTATTGATGCCTTTTGTGTGTTCTTTATTAGTTCTTTCTTTATTGTTTTCTTTATTTATTTCTTTATTTTCTTTTTTATTTATTTTGTTCTTTTATTCTTAATGTATTTTTTTGTTTCTTTCTTGCTTTAGTGGTTTCTTTCTTGATTTCGCTCGTTCTTTCTCTTGTTCTTTCTTGCTGCCTTTCTTCCTTCTTTCCTTGTTTTTACTTCTTTATGTATGTGAGGGCCGTCCTAAAACCCCAATCTTCGGTTTTACTTGTCGCCGAACGGGGAGAAGTAAACGTAGTAAAAAGCTGTGCGCGCGCAAGGAGCGCGCAAGTGCGGCCCAAGGGACGCGCAAGGCTTCAGTTTTGAAGGGTTTCAGGTACTGATGTTGCCTAGCTTTATGAAAGGAGGTGACATTTGTTTACTGTACTTGTGCTTTTCCAATGTTGCTTGGGTCATGTGTAGGTCACAAGCTTGTTTGCAAAGGTGCGACGTTTTCAGTCAGACGCCAAACGAAGCCGCAGCCTCTGCGATCATGACTTCAACACTCAGCAACTGGCACGGCAAAATCCGCGCAATCCGCGCGCAAGCCTCGTGCAAGTTGCGCGCAAGCAGGAGAAGCCCCAGCAAGACGACTAGCTACTTGCTGTCGTGGATGTCCTTAGCGCGGTTCAAGCAATGGATAGGCGGCCACAACATGCACTTCCTTAGCTGGGAGCCTCCTCAGCGGGAAGAGCTCGCGCGTGTGTGCCGCTGATGACATGTGGGGCTGTTCTGACCTATGGGACCCTTCAAAACAATGGCTTCTGTTTGCGGGTTTGGTTGGAGGGTACATTTTTTAGGTTGATTCACGCGGCAACCAATAGACACCCTATCATTTGTAGGGCCCGCTATTTTACGCTTGCTTGCTTGCTTGCTTGCTTGCTTGCTTGCTTGCTTGCTTGCTTGCTGGCTTGCTGGCTTGCTGGCTTGCTGGCTTGCTGGCTTGCTGGCTTGCTGGCTTGCTGGCTTGCTGGCTTGCTGGCTTGCTTGCTGGCTTGCTGGCTTGCTGGCTGGCTGGCTTGCTGGCTTGCTGGCTTGCCGGCTTGCTGGCTTCATTGCTTGTTTGCTTGCTTGCTTGCTGGCTTGCTGGCGTGCTGGCTTGCTGGCTTGCTGGCTTGCTGGCTTGCTGGCTGGCTTGCTGGCTTGCTGGCTTGCTGGCTTGCTGGCTTGCTGGCTTGATTGCTTGTTTGCTTGCTTGCTTGCTTGTTTGCTTGCTTTGCTGCTTGGTTTGCTTGTTTGCGTGTTTGCTTGTTTGCTTGGTTGTTTGTTTCTTTCTTTATTGCTTTGTTTCTTTGTGTGGTTTGTTTCTTTGTGTGTGTTTCTTTGTTTGTTTCTTTCTTTCTTTCTTTTTTTATTTATTTATTTTTATTTTATTTATGTATTTGTTTATTTGTTTATTTGTGTGTTTCCTTGTTTGTTTGTTTGTTTGTTTGTTTGTTTGTTTGTTTGTGTACTGTTTGTGTACTGTTTGTGTCTTTGCTTGTGTTGTGCTTATGGCTTTTGTTGATTCGTTGGTTGGTTTCCTTGTTTGTTTGCTGCTTGTTTGTTGTGTTGGTTGCTTGCCTGATTCCTTGCTTGTTTGCTTGCTAGTTAGTTTATTTGTGTGTTTGTTGATTTGTTTGTTTTGATTCTTTTGTGTTTTGTGTGTTTCATTTGCTTGCTTGTTTGTTTTTTTGTTTGTTTGTTCGTTTGTTTGCTTGTGTGTTTGTTTGTTTTGTTTGTTTGTTTGTTTGTTTGTTTGTTTGTTTGTGTGATTGTCCGTTGTTTCTTTCTTTGTTTCTTTGTTTGCTTATTTGTGTGTTTGGTTGATTCGTTGGTTGGCTTGCTTGTTTGTTTGTTGCTTGTTTGCTGTGTTGGTTCGTTGCCTGGCTGGCTGGCTGGCTGGCCGGTTCGGTTTTGGTTGGTTGGTTGGCTGCTTGCTTGGTTGCTTGGTTCGTTGCTTGGTTGGTTGTTTGCACCGCAGGGTACATTGACTGACGCGCAGTCAGCTGCCTGTCAGCAGGAGGCACGGCAGGGCCTTTGGGCCGAAGGAGACTGCGGGAAGTTTTAGGCAAGCAACGGCCAGTGCTGGGGTAACTGTTCCCCATTTCGTGGTGAATATCATGGTTTTATGTTTTCCCCAATGGTCATCCCACGTAAAGGACCGTTTGATCAACCCTCTGATAACTACGGGAAAACTAATGCTTGACGCCTTTTCCTTGGACCAACCCCCATTGTGAAGAACAGTTGATCCTTCAAAACGCGGATATTCCTTTAGTTTAGATCTGTTTGCTGTGAATCTCCTGCGCTCGACGATTGGCTTGTCTTCTTGGTTGGATAACTGGCCGGTTGGATAACTAACATGGAACGCTTCGAGGGAGAAGCATCACCTGTATGATCTGAGACTCATTCTCTCTGTGACCCGTGTTCAACTCTGAGTACTTGGGGCATGCGTAGACCGTTCGGATCATGAAACAAGTCAGTCCATGGCAATCGATTCCGATGTGAATTTGACAGGGTGTCCCTAGCGCTTCAAATTTGACAGGGTGTTTTTAGCGCACAGAGTCAGGCGGAAGCTAGCCGCCAGCCGCAAGCTTGAGAAAGCTGCGCGTGATTCGAGACCCAAGGCGGAATTTGTAAGAGGCGGTCAAGTTCATGGGTCAATGTGATATTTAAGGGCTGCCGCCCAGTGCCGCCGACCCCATACAGTTAAGTACTCCAAAGAGGGCTGGCTTCTTTTTGGCTTGCCTTTAAGGCAACCCAAAAGAAGGGCACCCTCAAACAAACACAGCCGCTAACAGAGCACAAGCAACACGTTCCTTTTGGATGCTACAAACATGGTTGTCCTGCGTAAATGATCGGACCTGTTTATGTAGCTCGTTGGCTCAACCGGTTTGATGACCGTGATGATAACTATCATCGTAGCATCCTCGGCATCACCAGTGCCGGCTAATAAGAGATGATGATGACCATGATGATAGTGAGGATAAGGGTGAGGACTGTGATGCTAATTTTCATCGTAGCATCCTCTGCATTGCCAATGCTGTTTAACGTTACTTTTGAAATGCATATAAGAAAGTAAGAAAGAGATGATGATGACCATCAGGATGAGAAGAGTGATGATGATGATGACGACCATCATCATGATGATGATGAGGAAGATCCTGATGATGACTGTGATGATAACTATCATCATAGCATCCTTTGCATCACCAGTGCTGCCTAATAAGAGATGATGATGACCTTGATGACAATGATGATGAGGATGAGGACTGTGATGATAACTATCATCGTAGCATCCTCGGCATCACCAGTGCCGGCTAATGAGAGATGATGATGACCATGATGATAATGATGACAAGGATGAGGACTGTGATGATAATTACCATCGTAGCATCCTCTGCATTGCCAATGCTGTCTAACGTTACTTTTGAAATGCATATAAGAACAAGAAAGAGATGATGCTGACCATCAGGATGGTGATGAGAAGAGTGATGATGATGATGACGACCATCATCATGATGATGATGAGGAAGATCCTGATGAACTATCATCGTAGCATCCTTTGCAGCACCAGTGCTCCAGGATGAGGGCTGTGATGATAATTATCATCGTAGCATCCTCTGCATTGCCAATGCTGTCTAACGTTACTTTTGAAATGCATATAAGAACAAGAAAGAGATGATGATGACCATCAGGATGGTGATGAGAAGAGTGATGATGATGATGGTGACGACCATCATCACGATGATGATGAGGAAGATCCTGACGATGACTGTGATGCTAACTGTCATCGCAGCATCCTTTGCATCACCAGTGCTCCCTAATGAGAGATGATGATGACCGTGATGATAATGATGACAAGGATGAGGACTGTGATGATAATTATCATCGTAGCATCCTCTGCATTGCCAATGCTGTCTATCGTTACTTTTGAAATGCATATAAGAACAAGAAAGAGATGATGATGACCATCAGGATGATGATGAGAAGAGTGATGATGATGCTGATGACGACCATCATCATGATGATGATGAGGAAGATCCTGATGATGACTGTGATGACAACTATCATCGCAGCATCCTTTACATCACCAGTGCTCCCGAATGAGAGATGATGATGACCGTGATGACAATGATGATAAGGATGAGGACTGTGATGATAATATCATCGTAGCATCCTCGGCATCACCAGTGCCGGCTAATGAGAGATGATGATGACCATGATGACTGTGATGATAATTATCATCGTAGCTTCCTCTGCATTGCCAATGCTGTCTAACGTTACTTTTGAAATGCATATAAGAACAAGAAAGAGATGATGATGACCATCAGGATGGTGATGAGAAGAGTGAGGATGATGATGATGACGACCATCATCCTGATGATGATGAGGAAGATCCTGATGATGACTGTGATGATAACTATCATCGTAGCATCCTTTGCATCACCAGTGCTCCCTAATGAGAGATGATGATGACCGTGATGATAATGATGACAAGGATGAGGACTGTGATGATAATTATCATCGTAGCATCCTCTGCATTGCCAATGCTGTCTAACGTTACTTTTGAAATGCATATAAGAACAAGAAAGAGATGATGATGACCATCAGGATGGTGATGAGAAGAGTGAGGATGATGATGATGACGACCATCATCCTGATGATGATGAGGAAGATCCTGATGATGACTGTGATGATAACTATCATCGTAGCATCCTTTGCATCACCAGTGCTCCCTAATGAGAGATGATGATGACCGTGATGATAATGATGACAAGGATGAGGACTGTGATGATAATTATCATCGTAGCATCCTCTGCATTGCCAATGCTGTCTAACGTTACTTTTGAAATGCATATAAGAACAAGAAAGAGATGATGATGACCATCAGGATGGTGATGAGAAGAGTGATGATGATGATGATGACGACCATCATCCTGATGATGATGAGGAAGATCCTGATGATGACTGTGATGATAACTATCATCGTAGCATCCTTTGCATCACCAGTGCTCCCTAATGAGAGATGATGATGACCGTGATGATAATGATGACAAGGATGAGGACTGTGATGATAATTATCATCGTAGCATCCTCTGCATTGCCAATGCCGTCTAACGTTACTTTTGAAAGGCATATAAGAACAAGAAAGAGATGGTGGTGGCTATCATGATGATGATGAGAAGAGTGATGATGATGATGATGACGACCGTCATCATGATCATGGTGAGGATGATCATGATGATGACTGTGATGATAACTATCATCGTAGCATCCTTTGCATCACCAGTGCTGCCTAATAAGAGATGATGATGACCGTGATGACAATGATGATAAGGATGAGGCCTGTGATGAAAACTATCATCGTAGCATCCTTTGCATTGCCAATGCTGTCTAACGTTACTTTGACGACCATCAGCATGATAGTGTGATGATAACTATCATCGTAGCATCCTTTGCATCACCAGTGCTGCATAATAAGAGATGATGATGACCGTGATGATAATGATGACAAGGATGAGGACTGTGATGATAACTATCATCGTAGCATCCTCGGCATCGCCAGTGCCGGATAATGAGAGATGATGATGGCCGTGATGATAATGATGATAAGGATGAGGACTGTGATGATAACTATCATCGAGCATCCTCGGCATCACCAGTGCCGGCTAATAAGAGATGATGATGACCGTGATGATAATGATGATGAGGATGAGGACGGCTAGTAAGAGATGATGATGATGACCATGATGATAATGATGATAAGGATGAGGACTATCATCGTAGCATCCTCTGCATTGCCAATGCTATCTAACGTTACTTTTGAAATGCATATAAGATCAAGAAAGAGATGATGATGACCATCATGATGATGATCAGATGCAGCGTCGCTCATGATGATCCTGATGATCATCACTACGCATCTCCAGCATCACCAGCAGTTACCGTGATGATATCCTGATGACAATCATCACTATGCATCCCCTGCATGAGCAGCAGCTGTCATAACAATCATGACTAAAATGCATCACTGCATTCCAAGCCGGGTTGAACGGCAAGCTTGAAACGTAGAATGCTGATGATTTGGATGCTGCGAACCCATCACCCAACATCAGTGGTGCTGATAAACATCACGAAGACAAGGACGAATACAAGCCCTTCCCATGCGCCTCCCCTTTGGAGAAAGGGGTCGGCGGATTTTGGAGCAGGTTCACGGAACAGTTGGTCCTGTGGTGGTTCACTCCACATATTTGTCTTTCAGCCGCATACTTCTCGGCAGCACACACCGAGCATCATTTGATGTATTTCTGACATCAAAGGGTCCAACCGATTCAGATTCCTACCCGAATGGGTGTGTGTGTGTGTTTGTTTGTTTTTGGGGGGTGTCCTTTAGGGGTGTGTTGAAGGGGAACCAAGAGAACCCCCCGTTGACTTATTTTGCCAGATGGTAGTGGTTTCCTTGTTGTATCACGGGCTAGGACAATTTGGGAAGGGCATCCCTCTACGTGGAGACGCACCGAATCGGAGTGATTTTGGCAGGCTGAGCTCACAAAGCTTGAGCAGATGGTCTCCAGTTACACGTCTGGCGCCAAGAAACATTTCGCCGGGACTTGTTTTTTTTCCCACGCGGTCAGGTGACAGGGCGAAACCGGGGCGGTGGTTTGGGAATTTCCGAGGGACCCAATAAAGATTGGTCCAGTCATTCCTAAAACCATGGGGTTGCTCTCGAGTGTGTGTGTGTGCTCTAGTTGATTGAGTGAAACTAGCAGGGATTAGAACTTGAATTTTGCCAGTGGCCGACAGACTTGCAAAGACTTGGCGTGTAGCAAGAGACAGCGAGATAGCCCAACACTGCCAGTTGTGTCAGGTTGCGCTGTGGTATTTGTTTTGTATTTTGTTTTTGACATCGACTTGCATGTTTGACCTGATATGGGCGGCAATCCGAATATGTCCTTTTCCTTTGGGAGCAAGCACTGACGTAGACATCGCATAGGCATGTGGGCGCAACCGTCTAAAACCACCGCACGGTACATGAGCCCGCTTTAGGGCGCTCAACTAGCCCAAGGTTAGCTGTTGGCTTCGGGTCCGTGGACGAGCATTTCCATCACATAACCATGGGCCAATGGGTTTTCTATTGGCGCATACGGTGGATTCAACGCAAAGGGACCAGGAAAAGTTCCTTGGTTCACCATGCTTTTGGCCAACATGCGATGGTTGGTGAATCGTCGCAGTGCAATCTTTGGAGATTTTGGAGCATAGGGATGGACCGGCTGGTTGCATAGACCCAGTGATTCCATGGTGGAAGTTTCTTGTTGCCGTGGTTGTGCATAGTTGGCCCAGAAACTCGGAGCTCGGACCAAGAACTGGTGTGTATACATGTCTCCTGAGAAGTTCAAAACGCCAGTATTTCTTGGGGGGGGGGGGGGGAATGTGTGTGTGTTTTTCCTTGCGGTGCGTGGAACTTGCGGGGGGGGATGTTTTTTTGACTCTGTTTTTGGGGGGCGGGGAAGGGGAGGTTGAGGTTGGACAATGTTTTAGGGGACACTTCCCCATTCTTTCCAGGGATCCTTCTTTGGGTGTTTGAAAAGAACGAGGATGAAAATAATGAAAAAAAAGGGGGAATCACCCCCTAGAAATGTATGTGTTTTGTTTTTTCTCCGGGGGGGGATGTTGAGGTTGGACCATGTAGACTCAGCCTCAGCCTCGTGCATGTGGCTTTGAGGTTCCAAGTGACCGCCGCCGGCACGCAGCTGGAGCAGGTGGCAGCCCGGCTGCAACAAATCGCCGCGCCGTGCCGAGGAACACCAGAAGCGTTGGAAGGGCACGGAAGATGAAGCAGTACAGGAAGAAAACCAGCAGCATCAATGGAGCAGCATCAATGAGAAGAATTTGAAGAAGAAGAAGAGGAAGGAACAGGGGATGAAGAAGAAGAAGAAGAAGGAAAAGGGGATGAAGAAGAAGAGGAATAAGGAGAAAAAGGAAGAAGAAGGAAAAAGAAGACACACTGGATCCCAACCGGCGGAGGGGTCAGATTGCTTTTAACATTAAGCCTTTTATTAGGATGTGCTATGAGAGCAATCCCCCCCCCTGCACAGTACCTCTCGCTTCGCCCCTTTTGGCGATTGAGACCCTGAGGTCTTAATCGAATTGGGAACACAAGGGGGCAGGGGGGAAGAAGAGTAGAAAGATACCTCCCTTGGCTATTTGGTAACGGATTTGGAAGTTTGGACTTTCTTGGTTGAAGCTTTGTGGATTTTCAAAACTTTGACTTTGGTTTGCAAATCCAAGTTTGGACTTTAACCGTTGGACCCACAAGTAAAAAAACAGGGCATGTGGCTGAGGCTTCTGAGATCTTTTCCCTGCGCGGTGGCCCAGCTTGTAGCCAGTTGATAGTTTCCAATGGGGACACCCGACAAATGGGTGTGTCGACCCCAAGAAAGATTGATGGTCTTCCTGTTGTTCCCAAAAAAACATCCCAAAAAGGATGCCGGCAGAAAAAGACACACCCAAATGGCAATGGCGATTCGTTTTCGGTCTTTTTCACTGTCCACGTGTAAAAAACTATGTTGGTGCACTGTTCGTCCTGATGACGTCCCTTCGGATACCATGGAATACTGACCCCACAAGGGCCTCCATAGTGTTGAGACCATAGGTGTCCTTTTGGGTTGTTTGGAGATGGCCCTGGTTTACCTGGTGGTACAAGCGCCTCTATAGTGTTAAGACGGCTTCTCCTTGTCTGTTTAAACCTCAATAATGCTTCTCTAAGTTGGCTCAGTCATGATTGTGAACCGCGGCGGCAGCATGTGGTTTTCTGGCCCGGTGCCCCAAATCAAGATTCCCCTTTTCGGGTGTCAGATGAGGTCAGTTGATCAATTATATGCGCTCAGGGCTTCGGCACAGGCAATGTTGAAGATGCGGGATGTGATAAAAATGCTGGTAACGCTTTTTCAAGCCGTGCTTTGGTCACAGCATGAATCAACAATTCAAGGTGCTTCACCTGAGCTCAAGCTAGCCATGCAAAATATGGTAGACGATGGGGTGAGGTCAGAGTACATCGGCCTGAAATGACCTAGAGGGGAACAAGCTTCATGTGGTTGCCCCCCCCAGTGAAGTCAGCGTGGTTCTAATCTGCCTAAAGATTCGGGCAAATTGTTTCCATTGTTGATTGGGCTCATTGTATCCCCACAGAGCTCGGTATTCGCACAACAAGACCCCCCTCGGACCTCCTTGGATTTCAAGCAACCTTAAGTCTGGATGATACTTGTCTTGGTGGCTCCCAGCCATCCCCTTAGCCTTTTAGCCTTTGGTGGTTAGTGGTAGTTTTCATTTAACCCACTAAAAGTTAAACTTTTAGGGGGGGAATCTGAGGGCAGCCCAGTTATGGGGACTTGACATTACATGGTGTTTTTTGGGTTCCCGACCCAGTCAAGGCCACCCAGCCAAGGTCCCAGACGGATGTGTCATACTGTGGATGGACAAAATCCTGCACCAAATTGAAACCATGGGAAACTATTGTTTGTTGGTATTTGCAGGGGAATCATCATTCAAGGGTTTCTTAGGTGGTGCAGGAATTCGTCCATCGTTGGAAAGCCCTAGTTTGAGAAAGATCCGCGGATGGCGATTGAAAAACAACAGGTTGCCTGGGTGCCGCCATGCTGGAGAAGAAAAATAATGGCGGGTTTCCCGAAAAAGGTACGACAGCGACAATTTCCCGACGAATCAGAGAAAGGCGAACAGCTGTGCTACGAAGGGATCTTGAGGTACATGTGTGTGTGTGTATGAAACATATATAATATGTTTGTCATGTACACATGGGCGAACGGTCAAAAAACCCATGTGCAAAAGTTAAGTAAGGGGCATATTCACCTGTTCTGGCGCTGTGCGCGCGAAAGGTCGCGAGTGGGCACCGGAAGGTTTGGCGACAGGGCTGGCCACAATGATGATAGAGGATGCCTCTTTAGCATTCTGAATGCTGCAAACATGTTTTCAATGCTGTAAAAATAGCTTTTGGACTGTTGCTTACGCCGTTTGTGCCCCTCGCACCTGCATGTTGGTATGCCATTGCTGGGGGTTGCCCAAAACCTATTTCGGCCAAGGACAAACAGCATTTGGGCCTGTTTCGGGGTTGGTCCAACCAGGGCACCCCCCAAACCTGTTTTGGGCATTCAAAAATAATATTTGGGCAGGTCACTCTTTCCTTGAGAGTGCAGACCAGGGCGCCCCCGAAACCTGTTTTCAGCAATAGAAAATAACATTTAGAAGGGCCCTGGTCTGCATTCCAAGGAAAAGACTCATTTGGACACTTGTGGCCTCTTGGCCAACCCAAAACCTGCCCAAATGTTATTTTCCAGCGCCTAAAACAGATGTTATTTTCAGTGCCCAAAACAGGTTTTGGGCCGAAAGTGTCCAAGTGAGGCTTCTCCTTGAGAATACAGACTAGGGCACCCCAACACCTGTTTTGGGCACTGCAACAAAAATCATTTGCAAATAAAAAGGGCCGAACCGTGTTTGAAAATACACAGACTAGGGCACCCCCAAAACCTGTTTGGGGCATTGGAAAATAACATTTGGGTTGGTTCGCAGGTCGCTGGTAAGCTTTTGACGCATGGCTTTAGTGGTGTTGTCGACGGAGGGTTGTCGACCATGTGCGCCCCACTGTGGGCGCGAAAGGCACCGGAAGGCCAAATAAAGGACAAAATAATTCTGACCAACGCCCACATATACGGGCCTTGATACCGTGAAGTAAAGTGAATCGATCGTTTAAGATGCCTCTCACCTGGGCTGCCTATGATGAGAATAATATTTGTCTCTGGTAGTGGGCTTGGATGCGGGTTGCCGTTGTAGTCCAGCCGTCCGCACGATGGTCTCATTACATGTGCCCCGTCAGTCAGTCAGTCCCATTGAATGCACTGAGGTCAGAGCACCACGATCGCGAGGCACGCTGCCTCACTCAGACCAGTCACATGAAGTGGTCAGAAGTAGAAGCCCCTCCCGGACACTGCGCTTTTGGCTCGAACGAGATACAGCTGAGCCATCAGGTTGCAGTGATGCAGCAGGAGTTGCAGCTGAGGGACGAGGAGCTCGAGGTGTGGAAGATCCGAAACCCATTGGTGGCCACTTTCTGTGATATTTAAGCTTCCATTTGCTGAAGAATATTTGTGATTTTCCCCTTTTGGTTTTAAAGGGAATCTATCACCACTGGAAATATGTTTATTTCTTCCCGGGGGCTTAAGCAAATGGAGGTAAGGGACTCCCCCAAAGACAAACTGATCATAACATGAATCAGCTGTCAGATGTGCATTCTGTTCAACCATCGTTCTTTTCAAGCACCGACCTAGGTGGTTGGTTGTTTCTGGAAAGTTTGCAAAGCGAATCGACCCTTCAACCAGATGTCTCAAGACTGGCTCATTTTGGTCAAGGTGCCACAAAAGCCACCATGTTTATGTCATGTTTCAAGGATAAACCTTGTATTTGCGAGTCCTTTGCGTGCAACTCGAAGGGCATCATGTGCAAGCTGCGAGATGCTTGTTGGAAGGCCTTCCGGCCACTTCCATGCTTGCAAGTTGTGCTTTGTTTGACTGCAGGCAGGACAAGCACCCTCCTGTCCAGCAGGAACTCACCAGAGCTCTGGTCCATGTAAAAAAATAAAAAAAATAATAATATTAATAATAATATTAATAATAATAATAATGATAATAAAAAACATGGTCTTCCAGGACCCCGGTCAGATTTCATGTCAGATAAGTAATCACAGCTGATGCCCGCAGGAGCTTTGCCTTACGCATGCCACAAGCCTTCTGGCAAGGCCAGCTCGGTTCAAGAAGCTGGCGCAGATGTGTCAACACAATTTTAACAATTATCAAATATCATTGGTAAGCCTACTTATCATAACTAGGATCAGGCATTTTATCTTTTGAATCTTTGATAAATGAATATCCTGGGGTATTGATCAATGGAGGAAACCGTCAAACCAAAGTTCTGCTTTGTTTCATGCCAGGTTTGATTCCAGGTGAAGTTCTAGATGATTTGGGTGTCCAGGTGAACCACCTTTGTTCATGCCTCCGGCTGTAGGCTGCTAGCTTTCAAGTAAAACGTGCCAGCTACAGGTCACCCAGCAAGCGCTCCAACCTCAAAACCCAGCCCACCTCCAGCCCTACCCCCAACCCCGAGCCACCTCCAATTCACCTCCGACCTAGCAAGCCACCTAACCCCCACCTTCAAGCCACCTCCACCCACCTGCCCGCACCTCCAGCCCACCTCCAAGCCACCCACCTCCAACCCACCTCCAACGCACCTCCAACCTCCAGCCTCCACTGGCTACTCTGTAGTGTGTGCTTTCGGCGGCGAATGCGCCTTTCGGCCTGCGTGCAATCATGGCAGCTCAGCTGGCAGTCGGAAACCAAACGGCTGGGCCGGCGAGGAAGTGTGGGCTTTGGTTTCATGTTCAGCAGGGCTGAATGCCATTCCCCCTCATGTGGCAACAACAGGTCCCTGTCAGAATGTATTGTTCCTCGCTGCAAGCATCACCCTTTTTTGCCCGTAAGTCAGTTTCCCTTGGCGATGTAAAAGAACCATAGAGAGTTTCTTGACACTTTGTGAAGCATTTTGGAGGCGTATGTAACGAAGGCCGTTGTTGGACTGTATATGCGGTTTATCGTTCACACAGCTTGCAATACTAGTGCCAGGTGAATTTGGTAAAACGCGCCACCTTGTTGTTTTTCCCCACATGTCCCCATTTGTGTTCCCAATTGTACCTGCAATCGTTTGTCAAACGAGAGCCCATGCCCTGCAAAAGAGAACCACATCTTCCATTTGCTGAAGAATATATGTTTTTTGTTCCCCTCTTGGTTTTTAAAGGACATCTATCGCTATTGTATTGGACGTATTGGACACAGGTTTATTCTTTCCGAGCGGCTTAAGCAATGGACATGGAAAGAAATGGCTGTGGGTCAAAACCAAGTGTACCATTTTGGTTGGTAGGTGAAGTCACCACCCGTTCTAGAACCTATTGTAGTGGTTGGATTGGGATGTAACCACTGGGGGGCTAGCCGATTTGGCTTTTGACCCATGGCGAAATGGGCTGTCTCCTGAACGCAAAGTGTCCAGCTCGCTGTGACAGCCCACGTGTCCGCTCGGCGCTTTTCCTTTTCCCCGAGGCGGCGAGGGCAATTGCCGGCATGGCCACTCGGCCAGGGATCAGGGGTGGAAACCGCAGTCTTCCCCCAGTGCGATTTTGACCGTTTCTTTTTTCGGGGAGGGTTCGGGACCCTACTAAAGTAGACAAAAAGGAAAAAGGTTGGTACCCTTATTCTAACCTCTCTTTCTGGGAGGACCTAGTCTTGCAAATCCGTTCGATCTTCTCACCGTTCGCTTTCCCAATGGTTGCTCCAGGTTTGGTTCTGTGTTCGCCCTTTCATTTCTTAGTTGGGCAGGTGAGAAGTAATTCCACAAGAAAACAGAGAAGGGCCAAGCGACAAAACAGCCCTGTGTCAGTTCATGTTCAACCTCAAGACTCAAAGCCGCCTCTGAAGTTGGCGGGTTCGGTGCGTTTATTCCGACGCTTTCACTGCTGCGGGTTTCCTTCGTCTATGGGAGCACCCGCGGCCCCTATTGGCGATGTGGATGTCTGGTTCATTGAGGGAACAAATTACGATGGTTAAACCTTTATCCTTGCGAACATCAAGGCTAAAGGGTTGCATCAAGATCCGAAAGTGGCTGAATCCGGGGATGTTCAACAGATCTTTAGCCTCCGTGGCTGAACATCAAGATTACCCTTCAATTTCACACACAGAGCTCCTTGCGGATCGGAGCCCTGGTTCCTTCTGACGGCCGCGAAATGATGCCCGGATTTCGCTGATTTGGTCGCTCCCAACTGAGGACAAGACTGCAGAGGCGTACCTTGGCTCCGAAGCAAAGCGGTGGCTGAAGAGCCAAAGGATTCCAACTCGCTGGCGTTTGCTGGGTTTACCTTTGCTTCTGGAAATCTGTGCGGTTCATGAAGAGATGCCATGAAACCTTCACTGTGACACATTACCATGGCAAAAAGCAGATCACTTGTCGAGTCCTACGGTTTTCCCACGCACACATCAGACCAAAGCATGCTCCCGCCGAGAGACTTGAGAGTTAGAGGAGTCCTGCGCTGAAGAATTTCAAGACACAACAGGTGTATCTTTTGGTCTTATTCCAAACAAGCAGGGGGGGATCAGGCGAGGGGGGGTTTTGAATCCTAAAAGTTTGGCTCTGGAGGAAGGGTGGTTGAATTCTGGTCGGAGACTAGACTGAACAGCCAAGGCCTTTATTAACTCATCCATGTGTTCTGTGGGGGGGATGTGGGGGTTTTACCCCGTGAAACTGGTCCCCCACCAGCCATCTCTGTGATCAAGTCTTGAACCGAGACGCTGCCTGAAGCGCACCGGGGCTTACGGAACTTGAAGCGACTGTAGTCGGCTCCTAGCTCCTGTTGCCATCGGAGGCCTTCTGGCAGCATGCTGCTTGTTGGTCTCCTCTACGTTTTATTGCCTTCCGCGCTTGTTGTGCTTTGCCAGGGGTGGATAGTGGGAGGTTCGCAGAGGGTATGAATCCGGCGTCTATTTATAGAGATCCGGCCAGAGGTCGAGAAAGAGGTACCGGCACTTGGATGGTTTGGGTGTTGGCTCAGTCGTTGTATCTATGATCAGCACATGAATTGTGTGGACAAACAACTGCAACCTGACACGTCGGTTTTGGCTGAGACCTCACACGCGATGAATCGTTTTTGTTTGTTTCTTGGTGTCTGAAATCTCACCTTTTCGGCTGTGTTTAGTTCCGGCATAGCCCATTTGCTCAACGCCCTCTTGGTACGGCGTCTCGAACTGCAGGCAAAGATATCCCACGCCTGGGATCATCTATGACAAGGTCGGGCGGGAATCCGAGAAAGAAAAAAACAAGTCCATCGCGCAGGGGGAAAAAATCGCGCCGCGGGGCAACTGGGCTTGGGTCTGGAAATCTTGGACTTGAAAAAAGCCGGGGGGGGGGGTCTTAACATAAACTGTTGGACCACACGGGTGGGCATTTCTGGAGACCCAAAGGGGCCTGCGCGTTTGAAGCCCGATGGACTTAACACCAGATAGAAGTTGGGGTCATTCACCTATGGCCATCAATTTACCACGTGCGTGCGGCTGTTTTAGCGGACCCGGAAAAATTGGTGGCTTTCCTCCTGGTTTCACTTTCAAACCAACCAAAAGGCCCGAGGGTGCAGGATCGAAAAAGAATAAACTCAAGCGGCATCGCTGCAGCATGGCATGCTTTCGAAGAAAACTCGCTGGGGACTATCTGAGGGTCTGAGATGGGGACTATCTGGATACAAAAAAACTATCTCAGGCTATCTGAGATGAGTCCCAACATCATGCTGAGATGTTCCTATTTGTTGGTTTTCCCGTGCATTTTTCGCTATGAGTATGCAGGGCTTGGCAGATTCGGCGCACGACCGCCAAGTGCTCGATTCGCGAGGACGCGAATCTATATTTGAAGGATCCGGCCTACTGGCAATGGTGGGCCGCTCGCTGAGAATGGGGCATGGGTCAAAAGGCGTCGGCCCCCTTGCAGGGGATTCTGAACATCCAAAGGAGAGCCCTCCGCGAAAAAGGACGTCGTACCAATATTGACCTAGGGGCAGGTTGTTGCCATCCTTGAAGGGGGGCAAGAAGGGGGTGCATTCCGTTGCCACCACTTCCCCCCCCTTAGCCTTATTCCCTTTTTGCTCAGTCTTTGCTGTTTGGCTTACCCTCGTGGGAAAATGCGACCCTGCAAGCATGGAGTCTGCAAAAGGAGGTTTCTCGGCCACTGGGTCCCGTGTTGAATGTGGGAATATTGGGAGTGCCTTGGGCAAAATTAGAAGCAACAGAAACCCCCCAAAAAAAGACGTGGCTCCTGGGCATTTGGCAGGGCCAGCGTCGCGCTTTCAGTCCGCTCAGGATCGCCCGGTCAAGCCAGGCTATCCGGCGGACGCAGCTAGGCAGTGCAAAGCGCAGATGTTCTGACCATCTCTGCCGATCTTAGGATCTCTTTTGTTTGTGTGTGTGTGTGTTTACATGTTAACTACGTGTGG